CTTCGCCCTCCAAAAAGCAACCTTTACGCCATCCCCAGGTTGCAGCACAATCTCCGCCTTGAGCGTCGGCTTCCCGCCGTCAACGGCATCCATATAACTCTCCACCCTCTCAAACCTCTGAAACAGCCGGCACAGCGTATAACTCATCTCCGTCAGCGCAAACTGCTGCCCGATGCAAATTCGGGGACCGCCGTTGAAGGGGATATACGTCCACGGCTTGGGCTGCCAGTGGTACCACCGCTCGGGCGAGAAGGTCTCCGGGTGCGCAAACGTCTCGGACACGGGCGGGTACAGATCCTCACGGCGCTGCATCAGGAGCGTGGAGTACCCGATCGGCGTGTCCTTGCAAACGGCGAGCGGTAAGGTGCCGTCGGGCCCGCCGCCGACGGGGAGGGTCGTGTCCTTGAGGGCGAGGCGGACGTTGAAGGGGACGACGGGGTAGAGGCGGAGAACCTCGTTCATGACGTTTTGGAGGTACTTCATGTTCTTGAGGTCGGCGTACGTGGGTTCACGGTCGAGGCCGACCTGCTCGATGATCTCGGCGCGGAGCTTGCGGACGACTTCCGGGTGGCGGCCCAGCTCGTATAGAGTCCAGGAAAGGGAGGCGGCGGTGGTGTCGCGGCCGGCGAGGAGTACGGCGACGAGCTGGTCGCGGAGGACTTTGCGATCTCGGGTGAAGCTGGCGAGCTCATGGAGGAAGGTGTACCCTTGGTCAGATTTCGTCTTGGAGGCGAGCTCCTCGGGGCTCAGGCGGAGGGCGCGCTCGATGAACTTGTTGACAAAGTCGTTCATTACGTTGAGGCCGGCGCGGAAGGAAAAGAGGGGGATGAAGGGTTTCAGTTTGGCGGCGCGGGCGAGGATGTTTTGGACGCGCTGGACTTCGTTGAAGGCTTCAGCAAACTCTTGCTTGACGGTCCTGTTGGAGGGTCCCGTATTAGTCTGTGGTGCTGTATAGGTTTGTTGGTGTGGCACTCACGAGAGAGACTTTACATCCTGTCCCAGGAGGAAGTCGGTGGCCACGTCCAAGGTGTATCGGAAGAAGAGGTCCGAGACGTCCATGACCTTGCCGTCAACGGCATCCATATTGACGACCTGATCCTCTCCATCCAAGGCACCGCCATTGGCAATAGCCTTGAACAAGGTCTGGATATGCGACTCAAAGCAGTGCAAGTCACTGACGCGATCCTTGATGAATTGAGGTCGGATGAGCTGCCGGCTTGCGTGCCATTGGTCACCGTCGGTGGTGAAGATGCTGTCGCCAAGGAACTCCTTCCATTCCTGATGGAAGGGCTCGCCCTTGCCGTAGTCGGAGAACTGGGTTGCGAGGATGGCTTTGATGTTCTCCGGGTCGGCGGTGAAGACGATGCGCAGGCCGAGAATCCTCTTCTCGCCGGTCCAGCCCTTGACTTTGGAGAGCATGTCCTTCCAGAACTCGACGTTCTTGTGTGTCATTGTCCCGCGGACGGCCTTGAAGATGAAGTCGATGCCTAATGGGGAAGGGGAATGTGAGTAACCAGAACCATTGATGAAAGGGTTTTTCAAGAACATTGACCACCGAATGTGTAAGTCACATCGCGGATAGCATGAAGAACTCACCACCGGGGAAACGAGCATTGAGGGACTGGCCACGAGTGCCGGGTGCCAGACGGCGCAGCCGTATGGTCTCATCGAAGCGCTTGACGGCTACCCATAAACCCCAAGCTATTGCGCCAAAGACCAAAATGACTTTGAGAGTAAGGTACTCGAGGGCATGGTCTACTAGACCCATGGTGAGTGGATTCCTGTGGACGTGTCGTCTAGCGAGATTCGGTGGTAAGGAGGGTGGAAGTCCGAGTCTGGAATCTGAGATGCAGGGTCGCCTACGGGCGAGACAAATTCGAGTAACGTCTCTTTAAATTGGCGAAGATGGGTTGATTTTCCGGTACTGCTCGAGTGGGAGTTGACGTGCAGTCGTCAAATGTCGTAACGCAGGAAAAAGGTGGAGAGAGAGAGAGTCGACAGAGGACGGCGCAGTGACTATATTCCAGGAGCTCGTCGAGACCGGTGACGCAAAACCCGATAGCTTATGTACGGAGGAACGGGATAAATCGAAAACCCGCTCCAGTTGTAGACAAAAAGAAGACCAAGTCTGGGCAACGAAGGCATAACCATCTGATGTGGGTAGGTCTGATGTTGGAGGGTGGAAAGCTGAGACTACAAGTATTAAGTATGTATCGAATTAGCTAAACAGGATGCATGAAAGCAGTGACAGAGTACAAAGTGAAAGTACACCTCATTGACCCTTAGCTACTGCGATGGGCTCATCCCCACTTGGTCTACCGTTCCTAGCTTGTTTTCCCCCCAAATCCGTCTATCCGTGCCATCTCTCTTTCTCTCGAGCTTCGGTACGGGGTCCTCGGAGTGCAGTGCTAGGGGTCTGCTTGAGACTAGCCAGTGTTGGAGACAATGGGTGAGGGGGACGGGGTCGAAGGACGAGGGGACGAGGAATGTGAGGAGAGAACCAAAGACACAAAATGCCAAGAACCCCCAATGTGATCATCCATCACCCATCCTCCATCCGTCACAATCCATGATCCATCGATGGCAGCAGCCCGCGGACGGCCAGAGAGAATCAAACCAAAGACGAATGGTTGGTCAGTGTACATTGAGGTGGGCTTTCCCCGCCCCCCTCTCTCCCTCCTCGGTAAAGAGGACCATCCCAAGTCCTCACATCCCTACAAAAATTAATTACACCATGGACATCGATGTTCTCTCCGTGGACCATCCACCGCGGCCGAAACACTTGCCCTTGTGTGCTAGCGGCGGCGTAAAAGCCACATGGCGAGTGAACTGGCGTAGGCCTGAGTTGGCTTAGTGCAGAGTCCCGTGTCACGCTTCACGCTTCTTTTGCATTGGTCTCTTCCTCTAAAATTTCTTAAATCGTATCACAAGGTGAGCGTCTATTGAGAGTATCTTATGGACTAGTATGCGTGGTCCAGCTGTATACTATGTAAAAGCTTCCCGAGTTCACTCTCAGTACGAGTCAAGAAGCAACCTGTTGGCTGTTGTGCAACGGAAGCTCGCTGAACCGATACCCAAACCCTTTTTGTGCATGGAACCGCACCCGCCACGCGGAGACTGGACGAGGAAAAGAGATGGACGACTACCCGGGGCTCAATGATCCCTGGAGAAGGCTCGAATTGTATTACCTACACAGTACCTTCCTTCGCCATGTTGTGGCACAACAGAGCCGAAAAGGCGGTCGATGATGGGAAGTGTGGTTTCGAGAGCCGCGGGGATCCGCTGCTTGGTGAAGCTAAGAAACCTCCCCTGTTGGTTGTGAAATCACCTACCTGCACATGTACGGCGCAGCATGCATGGCAGCACAGCACAGCAAGATCAAAAGACTTCGCGTGCGCGCCGCTGTTGTGCTGGCTCTACTTCATCAAATATCATCCCCCAGAGATCTTCCGTTTTAGGGAAAGAGGTGCAATGCCTGACCAATCGTGAGATGCTGTGTACTTGAGAGTTGCGAGAAGGTTGCGGCATAGTTGCTGGGGACATGCCTACCTGATGCCGAGGTCACGAACCTCTTTTCTTCGACGAGAAGAATTTTGGATCTTTTGTTTGAGAGGGCGATGGAATGAGGCAATTGGGTGGATTACGTACAGTGCGATGTGATAGAGGAGCATAACTATTCCGTAGGCCACGATATGTTTATCTTGTCTTGTCGCGAATGATTGCAGCAATTTCCATTCTTCAAGAGAACAAGATAGTCAAGCTGTTCGACTCTTCCGTCAATTGACAGTAGCGTCGGACGATACTCCTGCGACTCTCGATTATTACCCTTTCACCCATACCTTTTGTTGAGAAACTTGAGAACCTCACTTGGTCCCAGTCATTCCACGTTGGAGACTACTGTGTAGAGACTCAGACCGGAGCAAGCACAGTGCAAGACCCCACCGATCACGATCTGAATACCCAGAAAGGGAATTTCTGCTGTCGCAACCTGCAGGTGCCCACACGACTTTTGACCAAAGCTTCTCCACCCCGCAACTTACAGCTTACACCCCTGCAACTCTTTTTCAAGAGGAGGAGGAAAAAAAAGAGGAGTCCAATTGGATCCTGCGAGGTTATGCCTACTTTGCCTTAGCGCGACTTCCAGCGCCCTCTCACTGCCGAAGCGGAGGGTGACGTCGGGATCGTTTTCGTCCTTGTGACTTTGGAAACGAGCGGGATGGCGTCAAAGAGAAAAGAGACTGAGAGCGAGCATCCCAATCCAGCGTTCAGTCCTTGCCAGAGAAAAACTTCCCTCTAAGTAGGCGTATGCAAGTAATCCAGTAGAAACGTCTAGAAGTGAAATCATATCTCGTACATAGATACAAGTTTTCAATTACAGAGTTCTCAACCTCTAAAGACGACCAGAATACCGCCGAACGCTCAGCTCTCATCCGCACCATGATACCACGGGAAGCCCATCGCAATCACGAGCAAATAAAACCTTACCCCAGAATCCGCCCTCCTTCTGGAAGCGCGTCACACCAGATTCACCGAGGTTTGGACATGTAGATCACCCCGATTTCTCCCCCGCTTTCCACAAACGAGCCGTTCATGCGGAGGGCGCAGCGGGAACTACCTTGGGCACAACCAACCTCGAAGAGCGACGGCGGCGGCTGCCAAAAAAGTCCCGTTCTCCCCTCCCCTCCCTCCGCCACGGAAAGGACATTCGGATGAACTTTTTAGCCCAACGGCGCCGGGCAACGGACGCTGAATGTGTCGACCCGATCCCCCGGGGCTTGATGATCTGTGTCGAATGATGCGAAGCGTTGTCATTTGACACCCTGGATAGGGAATCCATCATCCGTTGTAAGAGTGTTGATTAACGAGATGAACCCCTGTCTCTAATACATGTACAGAAAAAGGTATGCTCAACTGATCCGGCGAAGGGACTCGCTGCCTTCTCCCCGGGAAACCGCATCACGCGGAATATAACAGAGTGCGTGGAACTCCCAACCCAACTCTTACACCATGGGATACCCACACTCACCCGCATCCCCCTGCGTGCAAAACGGCATCTGCACCGGCTCCGACCTCACGCCACGCGCCACCATCCTCTCCCGGAACTCAGCCAGCCTCGGCGCCGCGTCGTACTGGCTCCGGTTCTGGCCCGAAGCGTCCCGTCGGCCCGACCACAATACCTCGCCTGCCGCGCTGGCCCGCGGCCACAGGATCCCGTCGATACTGACGGGGTCAATGGACTCGCTCCACGCCGCCACCTCACCGCCAAGGACAAGCTTGGCTTCCGTCTCGGTCAGGTTGGCCCGCGGGTCGTGCGAGTACATGAGGCGCCACCCCTTTGCCGGCGAGCACCAGTCATTGAAGGGGAAGAAGGCCTCAAAGGCGGCTCCGTTGTCGAAATTCATCCAGTGGCCTCTGCCGCAGTCAGAGTACTGGTACACGTTAGCAAGGTGAACTCTTCAATATGGACGTCAACAATACCTACCCAGTAATTGTAGTTGCTGTCAATGACCTTATGGCCCTTACTGGTCAGTTTCTTTACGGAATCGCCTCCCAACCAAGACTGGATCACGACGTCGTCGCCGAGCGTGATGTTCCACTCGAGCGGCATCTCTTCCCAGACCAACGGGATGAGCCCGTGCTTGCGGATTCTGGCGTGGTTCTTGTCCATGAACTTTTGCAGGAGCGGTTGCAGGACCTCACTCGAGTTGGACCGGATACCCTCGTCTAGCATTGAGTCGTTCTTGTTCAGTTCATCGCCACCAGTGTGGAAGTATGCCGTGTAAGGACCGACCCTCGGCAGGAGATCGTCAAAGAGTTTGTCCAGGAACTCGTCGACTCGGGTATCGTTCATCTTGAAGGCGCCACATGGTGGCTCTACGCACCACCACGTGTACGGCTTCTCGTTGTAAGCCACAATCAGCTCCGGGTAGGCGAAAGAAACGGATCCGATGTGTCCCGGCATGTCGATTTCAATCACCGGCTCAATTCCGCGGTGAACTGCGTATTCTTGGATCTTTGCCAAATCCTCGGGCGAATACGACAATCCCTTGCGGTAAGCACCTTTGGCGGCTAGATCGGGCATCGCAGGAATGTCAAGCGGCCATGATTGCGAGTCCGTGATGTGGATGTGGAGCCGGTTGAGCTTATTCCAAGACATGGCGTCAATGACCCTCAGAACATCCTGAACGGGGAAAAAGTTACGCGCCGTATCGATCATGATTCCGCGGTGGGAGTACTCTGGCGAATCCTCAATCGAAACGGGCGCCAACGTGGTATACCAGGAGGTGCCGGATGTGTGCTGGTGGAAGAGCTGCACAAACGTCTCAAGACCTCTCAAGATGCCGGTGGAGGACTTGGCCGTAAGCGTCGCTGAGCCATCCTCTGTGATGTTGAGCGCGTATGATTCATCGACGTCACCAGCGACAGGCTTAAACGTGCTAGGCTTATCCTCTCCAGTCTGTGTAATCTGCAGCGACTTGACTGCCTTCTTGTCCGCCGCGTACACATCTGGCTCAAAGTCACTGTTCTTCGGGTGGAACTTCCAGGGCACGAAGTTTTGCTGGAAAATGGCAGCCATGGCGCGCGACACACCGCCTTGCACAATGTCTTTGCTGTTAAACGTCGAGCCCGAAGCCGGGTTGTAGCCATAAGTGTAGGGCAGCTGCACATTAAAGAAATTCTCAGTATTCTGTGTCTCATCATGGGAAGTGGAAGTGGAAGCAGAAGAAGGGCGCCAGCGTACAGATCCTCCATTATACGTGATTTCCAGTGTTTGGCTTATGAACAGAACACTCTTGCCAGTGGAAAGCTTCTTCGGGGCTGGCCAGATACCGGCACTGACCTGGCCCACGGCGAGGGAGAGGGATACGAGTAAGAGAGAGGGTAACATGTTGACGATTTGGGGACCCCGCAATGAGAAGAATTAGGAAAAAGAAGAAGTATGCCGTTCAAACCAACGGAAGGGTCGAGGCTGGTTATATGAACAAGCTAGGGTGATGCGCGGTGGTCTTTGTGGTGTGTCTTCGCACTGTTCCTGCGAAGCACAATTCTCCGAGATAAGGTAGAGAGTATGATACCCTCCTAGCCACCAAACGAACCGAAAGATTCGTCCCGTGCCACTTTCAGCTGCAGAAGAAAGACATACGAGAGCGCAGAAGTAGTTGCCCGTCGACTCTGCTGCCTTTTCTTTCACGGATACCGCGCAGCCAAGTCTGGATGGTGGTTGGGAACCAAGCAACCAATTGACAGTGTGGTGCACAGAGCAACGTTACGTTACGTCAAGCTTTGAGGTTGACGGAGCCAAGCTCACTGTACGCTTGACGACCCACGCTACTGCTGACGACGGAGGGGCTGGCTGATGGGGGGAGGGAGAGATCCTCAGGCCTGGTCGATCTCATGCGGTTGAGAAAAAGGAATGAACAAAATCAAAGCTTCTCGAAATTGGGTAGACCGACGAACTGGCCTTATAAGGTAAATGTACCCCGTACGTTGGATGCGACGTGCCAGACCGGGCTGGGGCAATGGCACGATCCAATATGCTGATCCCCCCAGTATTCGGTTCCTGATAATCTAGGGAAAATAGTAGGCTATGATTCGTTTGTTGGTGGCGATGAACAAGGGGTATGCCTTCATGGGAGTAGAGGCGCAGGGCGGATGAGAAGAGGCAGCGGCTGTGCTTTGACGCCAATCCAACGCCGGGTGATTAAAGGAGCTGATGGAGCCGGGAGGCGCGGAGAAGAACCGAAGAAAAAAGATGCTGGTTCTGCAGGAGACGATGGTCGATATGTTGGTTTATGCTCTCATAATAAAACTAGTGTCAAGCGCAGCTAAGAGCGGGAGAGCGCGTGAGAAGCGACAAAGGTGGTAGATAAACCAAGCTCAATAAGGATACAGGTGACAAATGCCCATGAAGTCTCGAGATTGACAGGAACAAGACAGATTGACTGCTAGTATCATCTGGTCAAAGGTCAAAGTAGCGTCAACGCAGGGACTCCTGAAGGTAAGAGCGGGCATTAGGATCATCAACACCGCCTGTCATGAGCAACGATTACAAGGATGACAGGAGGGGGAAGGAGGAGCTGGAGGAAGTCAAGGGGAGGCGCGGCAGAAGCCCCCCCTCAAGCCAAGGACCTAAACCAGGCCAGGACAGCCAACCGTCATGGCAGCAGGGGGCGGGGAACGGCACCTACGGCCAAACAACTTTAATTACCGACCAATCAAGCACACAGAAACCTCCGATCCAAGGGCGGCATTGTCTCCATCGACAAGGAAACAAGAAACGTAATTAGAGTATTCTCTCGTAAAGCCTTTCATTCGGTCTCGCTCAGTCGGCAATAGTAAGAGAAGCATTTCGATGGCTTTCGAAATGCGGCAGACCAAACTTTGGATACGCGTGTTGCAGTCAATGTTCAGCGAGAGAAGTCTGAAAAAAAGTGAGAAACCATAGCTGGTCACCAGACGCACATTGCAAGCCAAGGCAAAAAGCCAAGAGTGGAGGGTGCTGGGTCGGTACCCACAGCTTGCACACACCAACGGCGGATCTGCAACCATACCTACCTACCTACCTTATGTAAGATTCTTATCTTTTACAAGACCCGACACATGCCGCAAGAACATACAAGGGCATCTTACTGCATTTCGGACCTCGACAGTGAGAGATCTGGAAAACATCTATGAATCCTCGACACTAAGATTAAGATTCTGATCGCCGCAGTCTCATCAAAACTCTCATACGTAGAGAGGGAAAGTAGAGAGCTCTTTCCTTTGTCGTCACCCTGTTTCAGCTGCCACCCGTATAGCGTGGGGGCTTTGAGACAGACTCTGGCCTGCCAGTAAGATAATGCCCGATATCTTTGGTAGTGACTGGTGTCATGTCCTGCCTGGAAGTAATGGCGGTGTAAGGCGCCATAGTCTAAGGCATCCGTAGATGCAAAAAGCTCGGCCACTGTAACAGTGAGCCTACGAAAGATCCGAGGAGACTCTTACCAGCCTCAGGTGTAACGATGCAAGGATTTTTACTAGAAGACGGGACTCGAACCCGGGACCTGTGTGTGCGGGCATTTCGTTCAGATGCGCCAGCATTCCCCGCTACGACACAGGCCTTGGTGACAGAATGAAGCATTTTTATTCAGTATAGAGGTATCGCGGGCGGGCGAAGCTGGAATAACCCAGAGGTGGAAAGGACATCATGATGTATGTTCAACCTGCCTGGAAGGAGCGGAACCACACAGGTCGGGTGGTTCCTGGGGAAATGAGGCTGGAGAGCCGGTGGCTGTGTAGCCGTTACGCTGAATAATCAGGCGCATCGCGTGCCTGAATTAGTCAGGGCAAGCCACACTTGGAATTGGCCTGAACCTTCTCCTTCTGCAGTGAAGAACCTCCGGACATTGGCTTTGCACCGCCTTTCTTTGCGCAGACTGTCACGTGACTAGACTACATCTCCTCCAATCAAAGGCTTTGTTGTGGGCCCAGCTCTGAATTCTCCGTCATCTCAGGAACGTTCTTTGGCTCTCTTGCCTTAACTACCTCGATTCACTTCCTCCACCATACACAACATTCTTTTGTTGCTCTCTTGTGCATCACCAACTCTCCTCTGCCGGAATCATCGCCTGCTCCCCCTATACCCCGGCGCAAGCGATTTCCACTACCGCGCGCATTCTAACACGTCAACTAAAGTCTCCGGTGCCGTATTCGACGCCGACTTTTCTTTCCCGACGGCAACGCGTCTGGTCCTGCAGCTCAACTTCAAAAAACTGAACGCACCACGACTCTTCGCATTTGCACTCGAAGCTTCACGCGATATTCGCCATATCGGCGCCAATCAATATGACGGTCCAGGTCGTCCTCAATACCCCGCTGGCGGATGCTTTGAGCGCCGCCATCCAGCCCAAATTGATCGAGGCCGGCTGGGCATCAGGCTCCGACGATGATGCCGCGCTCGTCGAATACATCATTCTCATGCTCGTCAACGGCCGCACGCAGGAGCAGATTGCCACCGAACTCTCGGCTGATCTCCTTGGTCTGGGTCCCGAAGATGCGGGCGCCCAGCAATTCGCCGCATGGCTCTTTCAACAGGTTGAGCAGACCGACGCACAACTCAACGGCACCCAACCTTCCGTTTCCGATGCTATGACTGGCATGTCTCAAGGAAATGGAGACTTTGACACCGACATGGGTGCAGGTGATGGCAATGAATTGAACGCGTTTGTCTCCCTAATTTACCCCCCGCAGCCCGTACCTTACTAACCCGCTGTAGCCCGACTGGCCCGCGATCCATGCGAAATGGTCCCAACCCCCGAGGTGGTCGCGATAAGCGAATGCTGGGCCACATGACCAAGGCTATGGACAGGTCTGGCGATTCGGTTCTTCACCGCGTTCGCGGAAACGACAGAATCAACTCCCATGCCCGAGGCCCACCTACAGGCCCCAGAGGTGGTATGGGTCGCGGCGGACGACCCATGAACAACCGTGGAGTGAATATTCAAGCTGGCCTCAACGCGATGGCAGGAATGAACGGTCAACATGGTGCCCCCCCGGGAATGAACCCCATGGCCCAAGGTTGGGGCATGCCCCCGCCGCAAGGACAGCCGTCACAAATGGACCTCATGGCAATGATGGAGCAACAGGCGCAGATGATGTCACAACTCCAGCAGCAGCTTATGAACCAAAGTGGTGGACGAGGTGGACGCCGTGGCGGCAAGTCTTTGTTCGATCGTACTCAAAATTCTCGCGGCGGTTTCCGACAACATCAATCCAGAGACAAGCAAGATTCAGCGATGACGGAAGGCGGAGAGGGAGACGATGTCGACATGTCACAATCGAAGCGCGAACCGCCCAACCCCGACGAGACTGTCTGCAAGTACAACCTCCGTTGCACTAACGGCGAGTGCAAGTTTGCGCATCAGTCACCCGCGGCACCGCCAGGCACCACAGTCGACATTAACGATGTATGCACTTTCGGTGCCGCATGCAAGAACCGCAAGTGCGTCGGACGGCACCCATCTCCAGCAGCCAGACTGGCGCATCAGAGCGAGCAAGACTGCAAATTCTTCCCCAACTGCACGAATCCGAGATGCCCCTTCAAGCATCCCGAGATGCCGCTGTGCCGTAACGGTGCTGGGTGTACGACTACGGGTTGCAAGTTTACACATGTTAAGGTCAAGTGTAGATTCAACCCTTGCAAAAACCCTCACTGCATGTACACCCACGAGGAAGGCCAGCAGGGCGTCTTCAAGGACAAGGTGTGGACTGCCGAGGGTGTCGACGACCACGTAAGCGAACGTCAGTTTGTCGACACAAACGCACAAGCAGAAGTGATTCTCCCCGATTCAGAGAACGCTGTGAACCAAGAGCAGAGCAATGCGCAGGAAGTGATCAGCTAGGCGCTCATACGAGAACGTAAACCCTCAGGAACGCGAACTCTCAGCAGAGAGTTAACGCCATGCAAGAAGCGTTGTCTCCAGCAATGAGGCTGACTAGACGGGGGGCGGTGGATTGGAGGAGCGCAGTTGGCTCGGATTGGCGTCTCGCATCAGACCTGGTATACCCTTAGGAGGATCACTGTGAACTAGTTCAGTTTTGGGATCATTAGGAGGCTTCCAAGAAGAGGCCTCGATGGTAGAATGGGAGCGGCGACTTCTTGTATGATAATTGGACGATGATGTATGCCGAAAGCGATATGGCACTTTGGGCGTTTTGCGGGTGCAATTATTCTCTTATTCAAGTATAGACTGGGCTTTGGGCGAGCTGAAATAAAGCGAATCAGAGGGCCTCATAAATTGCGGTCCCTGATAGTGTTAGAGGCAGAACATGCTGTCCTCTTTAGTAGCCACACTATGTTCTCTGGTCTTTATTCCTCGATATCTTGTGTGTCAATCATTATCTGACTGT